CTAAGCTGCACCTGATACAGGCCATGATATTTCTAATCACCTCATATGCATGTGAGAGCTGGACAATGAATAAGGAAGACCAAAGAAGAGCTGATGCTTTTGAGTTGTGGTGCTGGCAAAGAATGCTGAAGGTACCATGGACTGCCAAAAGAACTAACAGATCTATCCAGGAGGAAGTGCAGCCGAGATGCTCCTTGGGAGCGAGGATGGCCAGACTTTGTCTCACCTACTTTGGTCATGTTGGCAGAGGGGACCATTCCCTGGAGAAAGATGTCATGCTTGGTAAGGTGGAGGGTTGACGAAAGAGGGGGGAAGGCCTTTGATGAGATGGATTGACATGGTGGTTGCAACAATGGGCTCAAGTATAGCAAGGATCATGGAGCTGGCATGGGATCAGGCAGTGCTTCATTCTGCTGTGCATGGGGTTGCTATGAGACGGAAGTGACTCAATAGCACCTAACAACAACAACAGCAACCTTCTTCTACCACCCATTCTGTATTCCCCTTGCCCTCAGCAAGCACCTCAGCTGGTCATGGTTCTTTGCCTGGTGGGGTGAACCAAACTTTCATTCCTGGAGGGTCTGGGCCATTAGTATTCATATCAGAATTGGTTGCTTTAATTTTACATTGACTTTAATCACAGGACATGGTAGTACTAAGAGACATCTAAAGAATGTCCTGTATTTCAGACTTATTCTTCTTCCATTATGTAATGTAAATCCAATTTCCCCCTGGTAATCAGGATCTATCACACCAGACAGTATAGTAATGCCCTTCTTTGTCTGTTGATCCAAAGGCATGAGGAAGCCAAAATGGCCAGGTGGCATTCTTAATTTCCAATTCAATGCAATCAGTATTGTGTCTCCAGGTGGGAGTGTTCCTCCCTTTGAGACTAAGATCTCCAGACCCGCAGAGCATAGGGACAGGAAGCAAAATATTTTTAAGTGGGTCATTAGGGGTAATAGTGAGTGGTACCACTCCCATTTCCACCCCTTGGTTCCTGGACCTGTGAATCCTGGCTATTGGAGAAACAGCACTGTATATTTAGTTGGTTTAGCACTGTATATTTAGTTGGTTTAGCACTGTATATTTGGTTTAGAGCATATATAGCCTCCTGGGGAACATTTCCCCATATCTTCAAGGTATTGCCACCTAGCTGGCACCGTAATTGTGTTTTCAGTAGGCCATTCCACTTTTCTATCAAGCCAGCTGCTTCTGGATGATGGGGAACATGGTAAGACCAGTGAACCACGAGCATAGGCCCATTGCCGAGTGAAGTGAGTCCCTTGATCTGAAGCAATGCTGTGTGGGATATCATGATGGTGGGTAAGGCTTTCTGTAAGTCCACAGATGGTAGTTTTGGCAGACACACTGCATGCAGGGAAGGTGAATCCATATCCAGAATAATTATCTATTCCAGTAAGGAAAAAATGCTGTCCTTTCCATGATGGAAGTGGTTCAATGTAATCAACCTGCCACCAGGTTGCTGGCTGATCACCCCGAGGGATGGTTCCATATTACAGACTCAGTGTTGGTCTCTGCTGCTGGCAGATTGGGCATTCAGCAGTGGTGGTAGCCAAATCAGTCTTGGTAAGTGGGAGTCCATGTTGCTGAGCCCATGCATAACCTCCATCCCTGTCACCATGAGCCCATTGAGCAATGGCAGGAGTAGCTGGGGAAAAAGGATGGCTGGTTTCCACAGATCATGTAATCCACCTGATTGTTAAAGTCCTCCTCAGCTGAGGTCACCCTTTTGGTGGGCATTCACATGAGACACAAATATCACTACTCCTTTGGCCCAGACAGAGCAATCTATCCATATACCCCTTCCCCATACATCCTTGTCACCAATTTTCCAATCATGCTCCATCCAAGTCCCAGACCATCTGGCCAAGCCATTAGCCACAGCCCATGAATCCATATACAATCACACATCTGGTCATTTCTTGTTCCATGCAAAGTGAACAGCCATGTGCATGGCTTGAAGTTCTGCCCATTGGGAGGATTTCCCTTCACCACTGTCCTTCAAGGGAGTCCCAGAAAGGTGTTACAGTGCACTGCTGTCCAATTTCAAGTGGTGCCAGCATATCATGCAAAACCATCTGTAAACCAGGCACGAGTTTCCCCTCTTCCTGAGTCGGCTGATCATAAGGAACTCCCCATGAGGCCATAGGTGCCGATTGGGAGAGAGAAGGTAATGTGAATGGAGTGGAGACCATAGGCATTGGGGCCACTTCCTAATTCAACTTACTTGTGCCTACAGGTCCTGCTCGAGCCCGATCACTGATATACCACTTCCATGTAATGATGAAGTGCTGCTGTGCACATCAACTTTATGACTCTGTGGGTCAGATGACACCGAGTTCATGATGGGTGGCTCAGGGTACATGGTGACTTGGTGGCCCATGGTTAGGTGTTCAGTCTCTCAAAAAGAGAGTAGTTATCTGCAGAGGATGGCAGGACTTTGCTCAAAAATCCCAAGGGTCTGTGTTGTGATTCACAAATAGGGACCTGCTAAAGACGCCAAAAAGCACATCTATCTACTACAGACACTTCAACCACCATTGGATCAGCCGGACCATATGGCCCAAGTGGCAGAGCAGCCTGCACAACAGCCTGAGCCTGTTGCAGAGGCTTCTGTTGTTCTGAGCCCCACCCAAAACTAGCAGCTCTCCAAGTCACTTGATAAATAGTCCAAAGTAACACACCCAAATGAGGGATATGTTGCCTCCAAAATCCAAAGAGGCCCACCAGATGTTGTGCCTCCTTTTTAGTTGTGGGGGAAGCCAGATACAATAACTTATTTTTCACTTTTGTAGGAATATCTCAACATGACCCACACCACTAGACCCCTAGAAATTTCACTGAGGTGGAATGTGCCTGAATTATTGTTGAGTTAATTTCCCAACCTCTAGCATGTGACTTGACGGTACATAACAACAACAACAACAAAAGCATGCATATGTCTCACCAATAAGTCTAGAGTCATCGATACTTATTCCTTACTAGGTCCAGTCAGCATAATGTCATCAATATAATGGACCAGTGTGATGTCTTGTGGAAGATAAAGGTGATCAAGAGCCCTATGGACTAAATTATGACATAGTGTTGGGGAGTTGATATACCCCTGAGGAAGCACTGTGAACGTATATTGTTGGCCTTGCCAGGTGAAGGCAAACTGCTTCTGATGTTCTTTGAAATTGGAATTGAGAAAAAGGCATTGGCCAGATTAGTAGCTGCATACCAAATACCAGGAGATGGACTAATTTGCTCAAGCAATGAAACCACATAAGGAACAGCAGCTGCAATTGGAGTCACCACCTGATAAAGTTTATGATAATCTACTGTCATTCTCCAAGATCCATCTGTTTTTTGCACAGGTCAAATAGACAAATTAAATGAGGATGTGGTGGGAATCACCACTCCTGCAATCTTCAAGTCCTTGATGGTGGCAGAAATCTCTGCAACCCCTTCAGGAATGCAGTATTGCTTTTGGTTTACTATTTTCCTAGGTAGAGGCAGTTGTAATGGCTTCCATGTGGCTTTTCCTACCATAATAGCCCTTACTCCACATGTCAGGGACCTGATGTGGGAATTCTGTCAACTGCTTAGTATATCTATTCCAATTATGCATTCTGGGACTGGGGAAATCACTACAGGATGGGTTCAGGGACCCACTAGACCCACTAGACCCACTGTGAGATGCACCTGAGCTAACACTCCATCAGTAACTTGACCTTCTTATGACCCTACGCTGACTAGTGAGCCACAGTGATGCTTTGGGTCTCCTGGAATTATTGTCTATTCAAAGCCAGTGTCCAGTAATCCCCAAAAAGTCTGATGATTTCCTTTTCCTCAATGAACAGTCACTCTCATAAAAGGCCTCAGATCCCTTTGGGGAAGGAGAAGCTGGCAAGTCCCAAGTTCTTGGATCAAATGTCAAGCTGGTGGTTTTCCTGACTCATGCAGCCTTAGGGGCTGACAAGCTCAAGGTTGGCAGGGAGTATACTGGCTTTTGACTCCAACGAATAACGAATCCAAGATTTCCAGGCCTAATGGTGGATTGTTCACTCACAGACAGTTGTAGCCATCACAACAGGCTCCTGATCCACAGAAGAGTGTCCTCACTTTACCTTCTTTAGCTAAATAATCATTCAGCCCTACATTCTTGCTTTGCAATTGCTTACGATTTACATCATCATCCTTTGCAGGTATTTCTTTCTCCACTTCCTCACACATCAGTCCACATCCTTCTTAAGTAATGTGTATATCATATCACCTGCCTACTCATGAATCCCTATGAGTGACTTCTTGTCCCTATTTAGATAAAATCAAGATTTTTTTTTTTTCATTTAACATTGAATATCTTTTAGTTGAACTACTTATATGGCCTCATTTTTTTTTGCTTTTCATATTCTCTGACATGATCCCCTTGCCCATGGAATCTCTTTATACTCTTTATAACACATTTTGCTTATTGCTACCTTTCATTTTATTCTTCTGACCTCCCCCCCAAATTTAATATTTTCTTCATTTGTTTTTCTTCTACCAATTTACATTTATTAATTCCATTACAGTGGCTCAAAATCCCATCTTGTATCCCACCTTTCTGTTCCTCCTCATTTTGGCCTGATAATTTGTTGTGATCTGTATTTGTTTCTCTTATATATATTGGATGCTATAGTCATTTTTTTTTTTTTGACAATTCTTTATAAATTTGACTTGTCTGCTTTTTTTTCACCTTCATTATCGTTCTAAACATATGGTATATATTTGAAAAACCTTTGTTATAAAAACAAATGAATTCATGTGTTTATTCATTCTTATTTCAAAGAAAAATAAACCACTTAGACACATTGTTTTCTATTTAAATGCTAAAGTCCTATAAGTCCATTAAGCATCTTTTATTTGCTAATCACAGATAAAATTTTAATTTTATCCATGTTATATGATAATTTTATGTACAAACATGGAAAGTTTAACTCTGAAATTCTGAATTATTTTGAAGCTTTCCACTTATTATGACAAATATTTTGACAAGCAAAATACCTGTTTTAAAGCAGAAAACCTATTTTAAAAAGTTTAAGAATCTGTTCTTTTCACTCTTGATCAAATGCAACACTATTATTACTATGAAAAGATAGATGAAGTTTCAGGATTTTTGAAATTTGTCTGAGAAGATAGCAATTAGGAAATTATCTGTTAGTAAATTGGTTTAAAGGAAAAACCCTGAGGATTCTTTCTGAGTTTTAACAGAGAAACAACAATTAACAACAACAAAAAAACTTTCAGCTAAACAGTCACCTTTCCATTCTTCAATGGTGTGTTCTCTCTCATCCAACTGTTTGTCATATATCTGAGGTGGAGGCTGAAAAATTAAGACAAAAAATAATCATTATGTAATAACTACAACAAAACTCTTACATTAAAAGCTTATGTAAGAGGACCATGCTACTTGCTGATTTTGGTGACAATCAAAATCTCAAACAAATTCCGGGGTAAATATTCAAAACCAAACTCACTGCTGTTGAGTTGATTCCAACCCATAGTGACCTCCATTGGGTTTCTAAGGCTGTAAATCTTTACAGATGCAAACTGCCTCATCTTTCTTCAATGGAGCGTCTGGTGGGTTCGAATCATTGACCTTTTGGTTAGCATGCAAATGCCTTAACCAGTATACCACCAGAGCTCCTTGGGGTAAATGCAGTGGTAAAGAAATTATAATTCCCCCATAAATTTAGTGAAGACTCATTTTATTCCAGTATCTGCTACTAACAAAATAAAGCAATAGAACTCAAATCCTGAGTGCTTGCTTCCTGACAGCTTCTGATTCAGAACCCATGCCTATTCAACTTGCTGATCTTTAAAAAGCAAACAAGATCCTAGATTAGATGAACCCAGAGCTACTAATTACTCCATTCACTTGCCCTATAATAGAATTGTACTTGAAGTATCTCAGAGTGATAAGATTTTATTCCAATTTTAGAGGAGTCTTTAATACCTCTCAAAAGGCCATTGTACTAATTCTCAATACAGAGTAAGATCAAATCGACATTTTATTTTTCTTGAGGCATCATCTAACTCACTGCTGTTGAGTCGGATCTGACTCATAGGAACCCCTCCTTGGGTTTCCAAGACGGTATCACTATGGAAGTAGATTCCCCTATAAACATGTTTTTATATAGCTGTGAGCTACATATTTAAGTCCCCCTGTTCAGGAAGAAGAAGCTGCCAGTTGTTTGTACATGTAAAGGTAGGTCACCTGGAAGCCCTTGAGTATCTCTCTGGGAGAAATAATGTATCAAGGCCCTCTGTTTGACTTTTGGAGCTAGCACCCCTGTTTGTATGTAGAATTCAGAGATGGAAAAGGACATTTTTTTTTTTTTACCAAACTAGGTGCCTTACAAGAGGGAGGATCTCAAACAGACACTAATCTCTTTTTTCTTAAATTTATAATTGGGGAAATTTATCATTATAGTCTGGGGTAGCTCCAACTCAGTGAAAGTGACATGGAAAGAGAACTGAGAAAACTCTGTGACCCCAGGAGAGCACAGCAACACCGATCACGTGAAGGTGAGGACGCTGGGATGATCAGGCACTGTACTTGATGATCACAGACCTGACTAAGGCATGACTTCCACCCCAAACTATAAAGGCTCCCAAATTATAGAAACATAATTATTCAATGAATGAATCAGTAAAACAAAGTTATTTTTGAAAAACTGTGAAACTGTCTAAGTAAGCTAATTCACGTCCAAACTCTGGTTATATAAAAGCACTTTGCCAAGTGGCAGGTTTCCTGCTTTTCCTCTTTCTGAGCATGTGTAATGCTGTGGTTAGGTTCTCAGCCAATTGGGCATTGTCCAGGATCCCTGCAGGACACAATGTGCTCAAGCTCTCAGAGTCCCCCCACACCCCCCAGGCTCTCTGTGTTGTTGGCAACTCTTCCTTTTTGCTAACAATAGACCCAGCTCGGGATCCTGCATGACTGGCTTCTACATGCATTGGATTTTTCCATTCAAGTTTCAAAATTGAACATGGCTCAGGAGTATAGTTTCTGCCAAAGTTCATAAATACCATTTTCTCTTTGTGACAAGGTTATTTTGAAGGAGGTTTCCTTTGGAGCTTTGGAATACAGCTGTTGCTGATGTATAAAACAAAAAGTGCATAGACTAACCACAAACAAACTACAAAGAGAGAAGGCAAAGTGCTGAGTCCAAGAGTCTTCCTTTTAATAAACCAAAGGTACTGCTATAAACATATTTTCATTATAATTATGGCTGAAAGCATGGGCTATATGTTCATTTTATTTTTTGAAGGGCAAATGTCATGTATAGTAGAAGAGTATATTCACTTAAAAACATCTTCTACATAACAATATAAAACAACAGTTGACCAATATTTCAAGGATTCCAATGACCAATAGTCCAAAGATAGCAGTGTCATATTCAGACACACACACACACACACACACACACACACATGTGCTTGGGCAGTGATGGTCCACAATATTCTCTGCCTCCATCTGCTAAAGACAATCTGGTGTTTTATTGCTTAGTTTCTCCCTTTCCCACTTTCTTAAAGAGAAACAATTCTCTCTTGCCTGGTAATCATCTAAATAAAAAGTAAGTGAGGAATGGGTATAAAGAGAAATACCCAGAGATGTTTGTTGAAGGAGCATTTTAGAGGAGTTTAATAGATTAGAATAATGTGAGATGTGAGAAAATTAAGGATGAAGACAAATTAAAACAAAAACTAAAAAATAACTCACTGTTGTTGAGTTGATTTGCCTCATAGCGACCCCTCCTTGGGATTCCAAGGCAGTATCTCAATGGAAGTAGATTGCCCAGTCTTCCTTCTGAGGAGTGGCTGGTCAGTTTGAACTACCAGCCTTCTGGTTAGCAGTCAAATGCCTTAGGCACTATGCCACCACAGGATAAATTAAGGATAATAAATAAAGAGAGATTGAGGTTTGTGACTTGGTTCCCTCTGAATATTTCTCAAGAGGCTGAGAATTCCCTTTCTACTATTTTTGAAGATCTGGGCTATACTTGCATGACTGCAATTCTTGGAGAAATTGAATCATGGATTCATATGCATTGCATGAAAAATTCCATATGACATATTAGGCATTTGATATTGATTGTCTTGTACATACATGTACAAACTGTTTCAAGTAAAATTAGAAAAAAAATGTAGTGTCACTGGGAATAAATATAAAAATTTATTTATTTAATAATTCATTTAATGAAGTTTTTGGGTACCTACCATGTACCAGACTTATTAAAAACTGAGATTTGAAAACTGAATAATGTGACTGTGGTTCTTAAGGAGCCCACAATTTAATGTGATTGTGTGATTACAAAGCATATAATAAGTAAGTTATTGTTAGGTACCATTGAGTCAGTTCTGACTCATAGTCATGTACTGACTCATCCTAAGTACAACAGAATGAAACACTGTCCAGTGTTGCACCATCGTCACAATCATTGCTAGGTTTAGGTCCATTGCTGTAGTCAGTGCGTCAGTCTATCTCATTGAGGATTTTCCTCTTTTTCACTGACCTTCTACTTTACCAAACATGATATCCTTCTCCAGGGATTGTTCCTTCCTGATAACATGACCAAAGTAGGAGAGATGAAGTATAATTCCTGTATAATATGATGAATAATAGAAATGTATATGTGGCATATGGCAGCACAATGATAAACCCCTAACAAAGAAGAGCTTTGGCTTCTTAGAATATATGACAGCTGCATGGTTTGTTAAGCAAAAGACGAATTGGATGTAGTCAAGATAAAGGGGAAGGAGAAAAGGGTAACTAAGGGCACATCATGAAAAAAAGTCACAGAAACTAGAAAACACAATGGTGGAACTGGTGGTGGTGGTGGTGATGGTGATGTGTGTGTGTGTATATGACTGTGTTTGTTTCTGTGTTGTACGTGCCCATGTGTAAAAAGAATTGGAAGAAGTTCTATGATGATAAAATATAGCATATATGGTAGGAATAAGGAGGTCTGGTGGTACAGTGGATAAGGCATTTGGCTGCTAACCAGAGGCCAGTGGTTCAAACCCACCACCTGCTCCATGGGAGGAAGATGGGCAATCTACTACCATAAAGATCTACAGCCTCGGAAACCCAAGTGGGGGTTGCTATGAGTTGGAATAGACTTGATGATAGTGAGGGTTTTTATTTTTTATTTTTTTGGTATAGTAGGAAGTGACAGGACATAAGAACCATACCTAGGGAAGCAGATTGGTCAAGCAAAGACTACATCAATAGTAGTCTTTGCTATCATGATATGAAACAAATATTTCTTCCTGGAGGAAAGGAGAAACCACTGAAAAATGTAAGAGAATGAAATAGCTAAATTTCTGGCTAGAATGAAGGAGGATGTGGCTGAAAACAGACAGAAGAATTAGAGGGCTACTGCAAAAACCAGGAAAAATATTAAAAGGTCTGGCCTGAGGTAGGGAAGGTAAAAATCAATAGAAGATAAAGGTTCAAGAATGATTAATAAATAAATTTGGTGTATTTTGGTTTTTGAGTGAATGTGGGAGATAGAAATAAAGAATGACTCCCAGATTTCTATGTGAGACAGCTAGGTAGATGGTTTGGCGGGTAGATATGTGGTCGCCCTACATAGCAACTTTGTAACATGGCATATTATAAACCTAAGGTATAAGATGCTAAGCCTTCTAAAGAAACAGAGACTGGAAAGGAAAATGAAATTGGAAGGGAGATGGGTTTAAATGCTGTGTGAGCAGAAATGTCTATTTGAGTACTGGATTTAGGATTTGGCTTTCATAAAAATACCATTAGCTGGAGATGTATAGATTTGAGCCAATCAGGAAAAGATGTTTGTTGAAATTGTGACAGTGGGTGAGGTCACCCAGGGACAGTATGTAGACAGAAAGAGTAAAGGGCTAAAGTGAACCTTTATCAGACACCAAGATTTCAAGGCTGGACAGAAAAAGATGAGTCCACTAAGAAGAACAGAAGGAAAAAAAGGAACTTTTAGAGAAATACATGGAAAAGGAGGATAGTCCAGTTTTACAGCATTCAAGTGAATATAGAGTTTCAAAAACAGGAAATAACTGACAGATTTGTATAAATAAAACAAATATTTTGCCTTTGAAGGCACTAGAAAAGTGTGATGCAAAGCATACCTTTGAGCCCTACAAAAACATGAAAAACCTTTAATATCAATGTGAATATTGTATATAATCAAGAAAAACGGAGCCTCAGAACAGGTTGTGCAATGCCAAAAGAGATACTTAAAATGTTGTCAGACCTGCTCACCCATCTATCTTTAAGAACTTGATAAATGAAGAATACTCTATTCTCTAGTTCATTCAGGGGAACCA